ATACCCAGTAATGGGATTGCTGGGTCAAATGGAATTTCTATTTCTAAGGCCTTGAGGAATCGCCACACCGTCTTCCACAATGGTTGAACTAATTTACACTCCCACCAACAGTGTAAAAGTGTTCCTTTTTCTCCACATCCTCTCCAGCATCTGTTGTCTCCAGATTTTTTAATGATCGCCATTCTAACTGGTGTGAGATGGTATCTCAATGTGGTTTTGATTTGCGTCTCTCTGATGACCAGTGACGATGAGCATTTTTTCATATGATTGTTGGCCTCATATATGTCTTCTTTCGTAAAGTATCTGTTCATATCCTTTGCCCACTTTTGAATGGGCTTGTTTGTTTTTTTCCTGTAAATCTGTTAGTGTTCTTTGTAAATTCTGGATATCAGCCCTTTGTCAGATGGGTAGACTGCGAAAATTTTTTCCCATTCTGTTGGTTGCCGATCTACTCTAGTGACTGTTTCTTTTGCCGTGCAGAAGCTGTGGAATTTCATTAGGTCCCATTTGTCTATTTTGGCTTTTGTTGCCAATGCTTTTGGTGTTTTGTTCATGAAGTCCTTGCCTACTCCTGTGTCCTGGATAGTTTTGCCTAGATTTCCTTCTAGGGTTTTTATGGTGCCAGGTCTTATGTTTAAGTCTTTAATCCATCTGGAGTTAATTTTAGTGTAAGGTGTCAGGAAGGGGTCCAGTTTCTGCTTTCTGCACATGGCTAGCCAGTTTTCCCAACACCATTTGTTAAACATGGAGTCCTTTCCCCATTGCTTGTTTTTGTCAGGTTTATCAAAGATTGTATAGTTGTATGTATGTTGTGTTGCCTCTGGTGCCTCTGTTTTGTTCCATTGGTCTATATCTCTGTTTCGGCTGTGAACCCGTCTGGACCTGGGCTTTTTTTGTGTGGTAGGCTCTTAATTGCTGCCTCAACTTCAGACGTTGTTATTGGTCTATTCATAGTTTCAGCTTCCTCCTGGTTTAGGCTTGGGAGGACACAGGAGTCCAGGAATTTATCCATTTCCTCCAGGTTTACTAGTTTATGTGCATATAGTTGTTTGTAATATTCTCTGATGATGGTTTGAATTTCTGTGGAATCTGTGGTGATTTCCCCTTTATCATTTTTTATTGCGTCTATTTGGTTGTTCTCTCTTTTCTTTTTAATCAATCTGGCTAGTGGTCTGTCTATTTTGTTGATCTTTTCAAAAAACCAGCTCTTGGATTTATTGATTTTTTGAAGGGTTTTTCGTGTCTCAATCTCCTTCAGCTCAGCTCTGATCTTAGTTATTTCTTGTCTTCTGCTGGGTTTTGAGTTTTTTTGATCTTCCTCCTCTAGCTCTTTCAATTTTGACAATAGGGTGTCAATTTTGGATCTCTCCATTCTCCTCATATGGGCACTTATTGCTATATACTTTCCTCTAGAGACTGCTTTAAATGTGTCCCAGAGGTTCTGTGTCTTCGTTCTCATTGGTTTCGAAGAACTTCTTTATTTCTGCCTTCATTTCGTTGTTTACCCAGTAAACATTCAAGAGCCAGTTGTTCAGTTTCCATGAAGCTGTGTGGTTCTGGGTCGGTTTCTGTATTCTGAGTTCTAACTTGATTGCACTATGGTCTGAGAGGCTGTTTGTTATGATTTCAGTTGTTTTGCATTTGTTGAGCAGTGCTTTACTTCCAATTATGTGGTCAATTTTTGAGTAGGTGTGATGTGGTGCTGAGAAGAATGTGTATTCTGTGGATTTGGGGTGGAGAGTTCTGTAAATGTCTATCAGGTTTGCTTGCTCCAGGTCTGAGTTCAAGCCCTGGATATCCTTGTTGATTTTCTGTCTGGTTGATCTGTCTAGTATTGACAGTGGAGTGTTAATGTCTCCCACTATTATTGTGTGGGAGTCTAAGTCCTTTTGTAAGTCATTAAGAACTTGCCTTATGTATCTGGGTGCTCCTGCATTGGGTCCATATATGTTTAGGATCGTTAGCTCTTCTTGTTGTATCGATCCTTTTACCATTATGTAATGGCTTTCTTTGTCTCTTTTGATCTTTGTTGCTTTAAAGTCTATTTTATCAGAGATGAGAATTGCAACTCCTGCTTTTTTTTGCTTTCCATTAGCTTGGTAAATCTTCCTCCATCCCTTTATTTTGAGCCTTTGTGTATCCTTGCATGTGAGATGGGTTTCCTGGATACAGCACACTGATGGGTTTTGGCTTTTTATCCAATTTGCCAGTCTGTGTCTTTTGATTGGTGCATTTAGTCCATTTACATTTAGGGTTAATATTGTTATGTGTGAATTTGATACTGCCATTTTGATGCTAAGTGGCTGTTTTGCCTGTTAGTTGTTGTAGATTCTTCATTATGTTGATGCTCTTTAGCATTCAGTGTGATTTTGGAATGGCTGGTACTGGTTGTTCCTTTCTATGTGTAGTGCCTCTTTTAGGAGCTCTTGTAAAGCAGGCCTGGTGGTGACAAAATCTCTGAGTACTTGCTTGTTCGCAAAGGATTTTATTTTTCCTTCACTTCTGAAGCTCAGTTTGGCTGGATATGAAATTCTGGGTTGAAAGTTCTTTTCTTTAAGAATGTTGAATATTGGCCCCCACTCTCTTCTGGCTTGTAGTGTTTCTGCCGAGAGATCTGCTGTGAGTCTGATGAGCTGGGCAGGACCTCAACGGACATCCAAAAATAAAGCCCAAACCCCTCAACACAGAGCATTTGAGAAAAAAAAAAAGGGTTTTTTAATGAGCTCTGTTGCTGCAGAATCAAATATAGCAGCCTAACAGCCCTGAATGAACAACAGAGCTCACAGCTCAGCAATTAAGCCCCTATAAAGTACAAACTGTCTCCTCAAGCAGCTCCCTGACCCCTCTATATCCAAAAGACTGACATTAGGCAGGCATCATCCTGGGACAAAGATAGCAGAAAAAGAAACTGGTAGCATCCCTCGCTGTGCCACAGCTGCTAGAGGTGCACCCCAGACAAGCAGGGTCTGGAGCGGACCTCAGCAGTTGTACAGCGAAGGGGCTAGACTGGTAGAAGGAAAACCAAGCAACAGAAATACTTCATCATCAACATTCTGGGTGTCCACTCAGAAACCGAATCAAAAAGTCAGCAACTACGCAGACGACCAGCGGACAAATCCACAAAGATGGGAAGAAACCAGCGCAAAAAGGAGGAAAACACCCGAAACCAGAACACCTCGCCTCCTAGAAAGGACCAAAACTCCTCACCAGCAAGGGAACAAAGCTGGACGGAGAATGACTGTGACGAAATGACGGAATTAGACTTCAGAAGATGGATAATGAGAAACTTTTGTGAGCTAAAAGATCATGTATTAAATCAATGCAAAGAAACTAAGAACCTTGAATAAAGATTTGAAAAAAGGTTCGAGGAAATGATAACAAGAATGGATAACTTAGAGAGGAATATGAATGAATTAAAGGAGCTGAAAAACACAATACGAGAACTTCGCGAAGCAAACACAAGTTTCAATAGCCGAATTGACCAAGCAGAAGAAAGAATATCTGAAGTCGAAGGCCAACTCAATGAAATAAAACGAGAAACCAAGATTAGGGAAAAAAGCGCAAAAAGGAATGAACAAAGTCTCCAAGAAATGTGGGACTATGTGAAAAGACCTAACCTACATTTGATAGGTGTACCAGAAGGGGACGAAGAGAATGAATCCAAGCTGGAAAATACTCTTCAGGACATCATCCAGGAAAATTTCCCCCACCTAGCAAGACAGGCCAACACTCAATTGCAGGAAATACAGAGAACACCACAAAGATATTCCGCAAGAAGAGCAACCCCAAGGCACATAATCGTCAGATTCAACAGGGTTGAAATAAAGGAGAGAATACTAAGGGCAGCCAGAGAGAAAGGTCGGGTCACCCACAAAGGGAAGCCCATCAGAAGCTCTTAAGATTAATTAGATCCCATTTGTCTATTTTGGCTTTTGTTGCCATTGCTTTTGCTGTTTTAGTTATAAAGTCCTTGCCTATGCCTATGTCCTGAGGGTATTGCTAGGTTTTCTTCTAGGATTTTTATGGTGTTAGGTCTTATGTTTAAATCTTTAATACATCTGGAGTTAATTTTTGTGTAAGGTGTAAGGAAGGGATGCAGTTTCAGCTTTCTGCACATAGCCAGTTTTTCTAACACCATTTATTAAATAGGGAATCCTTTCCCCATTGCTTGTTTTTGTCAGGTTTGTCAAAGATCAGATGGTTGTAGATGTGTGGCATTGCTTCCAAGGCCTCTGTTCTGTTCCATTGGTCTTTATCTCTGTTTTGGTACCAGTACCATGCTGTTTTGATTACTGTAGCTTTGTAGTATAGTTTGAAGTCAGGTAGCATGGTGCTTCCAGCTTTGTTTCTTTTACTTATGATTGTCTTGGCTATGCAGGCTCTCTTTTGGTTCCGTATGAAGTTTAAGGTGGTGTTTTCCAATTCTGTAATGAAAATCAGTGATAGTGTGCTGGGGATAGCATTGAATCTATACATTGCTTTGGGCAGTATGGCCATTTTGACGATACTGATTTTTTCTAACCATGAGCATGGAATATTTTTCCATCTGTTTGTGTCCTCTCTTATTCCCTTGAGCAGTGGTTTGTAGTTCTCCTTGAATAGGTCCTTCACATCCTTTGTTAGTTGTATTCCTAGGTATTTTATTCTCTTTGTAGCAGTTGTGAATGGGAGTTCACTCATGATTTGGCTGTTTGTCCGTTATTGGTGTATAGGAATGCTTGTGATTTCTGCACATTGATTTTGTATCCTGAGACTTTGCTGAAGTGTTCAGTGTTATTTTTTAAAGTATATTGGCATACTTGAAGCTTTATTTAGCCTGTAAAAGAAAACTAGAATACCACTTTCTTTGAGGGAGTCTTTAAAATATTTTAGTAGTGAAAAAGTTCAAGTAGCTTGTGGTAAATAACTCAGCTCTTCTTGGAGTTAGAGGTCTATGGCATTGATTTTTTTTTTTTTTTTTTTTTTTTTGATTAATGAGCTTTTATTTGTTGTTAATGTAGTTTTGGGACAGTGCCGTGACAATGTTGAGCCAAAAAAATTGCCGATCACTGAAGAGGAGCAGATTTACCCTTGGGATACATGTGCAGCTGTTCATGACGTGAGGCTTTCGTTATTACAGCGTTATTTTAAGGATGTAAGTACTCTTTATAAAATAATACTTTTGTCTGCCGAGTTGATAGTTATTTCACTCCAGAATTTTATGTTATTCTTCTACCAAAATAGCATTCTGATGTTAAATTTGAAAGTTTATTGGAAAAAAATTAATATGTGGATAGAAAGAAACCTGTTAATAAACAGTTTAGGTAATAAATGCGATACCTTTGTTTTAAATGTTGTTTATTATGTGATATACACATTCTACTAAGTGGAATAATGAGTACAGCAAGTCCTTGAATAACAATGTTTCATTCAACATTGTTTTGTTACAATGTTGATGAGACAAAAATCAGTTCCCCACAGGGGCCACTGTCAGTATGGAGTTTGTGTGTTCTCCCCATGTCTCTGTGGGTTTTGTCTGGGTATTCAAGTTCCTCCTACTTTCTGAAGATATGCTGCACATTAGGTTAACTCACATGTCTAAATTGTTCTGGTCTGAGTGAGTATGGGTATGGTGGGTATGAGTGCATCCTGTCATGGGATCATGTCCTGCCCAGGGTTGATTCTTGCTTTGTGCTCTGAGATGCAGGAATAGGCTCCAGCCACCTATGACTGTGAACTGGAATAAGTAGGTTGGAAAATGAATGAAATAATGAAAACATATTATTGTAACGTAAAAATTTATGAAGTATATGATAATCCTACAGCTGCATAATAACAGTGTGGTATGAAAGGGATCAGTGAGCCTGCATACTTGTTATTGTTTCTTTTTTTTAATTGCATGGTAATAAGAAGTGTTCCTTAATGATTTTCGATTTGCTAACATTTATTCCTTAATTTAACCTATCACCACTACTACTGACAGCACTCACTGATTTGTCAAAAGTTGGGTAGATCATTATCTTACTTGTTTTTATTAACTTTTCTAAATGTATACACACTCCACATTTATTTCAGTGTTTCATATTAGAAATATTTTGGGTCTTTAGAAGTTTTGGTGATGTTTTTATAATCAGAAATATACTATAGGAATTTAACTCTTTTTTATATCAATTAGGCTATGGTTAAATTAGTTTTGTTCCACATCATTTTCTTAAAGTCACAGTTTCCAAGAACCTATTGATAACGTTAAGTGAGGACTTAATGTATTAAATTTATAGAAACTTTTATTATGGTAGGAATATTGTACAAAGATTTTTGCCCCCCTTTTACTTTCATTTAAAGATATATGATAAAATTTCATTATGATACTTTTAAAATGTAAAGTAAGGATGGATTTGATTCATATCTGCTATGACTTCTTATAAACTTCATAGAGATTTTTCATTATTTTGCATTTAGGAGCTCTGGCACTCATAGGTATCTCAAGATAAACTTTAGTAGCAGCAGGAATGTTAATGTCTTTTTTAAATTTCTGTATTCATTTCTTTTGATGTTTCCCAAGTGGATTATCAAATGGGGTTTTCTTTCTCCTGTTGTAGTTTTTTAAATCTGCTGTGTCTTGAATTAAATAATATCAGCTTAAAATATAAAGTAAAACATTATTTTTAGTTAGCTATATAAGATGATTATCTTGATTGATTTCCAAATAGAACTTCTTTCTTGCCCATAAATTCATTGATTTAAGTGCAAGAAATAAGTGGAAGACAGAATACATAATTAGAATAAATAAGAACTAAACTAGTAATGAAAAGAGCCAGAGTAGAGTCAGCTTCCTTAATATGCTAGACTGACAAGAAGGTTTCTGGTGGCTTCTACAAGAGCTGATGGACCTACAGTGAGGTGTTGTGTAGAGTAGAAAGTGTCCTAGACCAGAAAAACTGGAGTTTGCTCCTGATTCTGCCATTTCTGAGCAATGTGAGCTTGGCCAAATCCCTTAAGCAGTCTGAGACTCAATTTTCTCATCTGTAAAATAGGGCTGATAATGATCTTTCATACAGTAATCATCAGGTTAGAGTTCACTCTGCATACAATACAGGTCAATATAAATGTGAAGTGATGTTTAAATATTCAAGCTATCCCAATTAGGAAGGCTAGGTTAGGCCTTATAGGCAGTTTGGGTTAGGTAATAAGGTCATGATTCCATATATTTTCAGTGCCTTTAAAATGAAATTGTAGTTATTTTGTAGCAGTCTCTGTATGTGCATGTGTATAAATACATGTATGTGTGCACACACGTTTTTACACTTTTTTCTTTATTGTTTCTTCGGATATTTTACAGGATACATATATTACTTTATTAATCAGAGACCAACAAATATTTTCTTTTCAAGGAAAATTGGGATTGTATACTAAAGTTCTGCTTTTGCAGAAATTTGCTACCACCTTATTTAGAATTTATTTTCTTGTTATAATGACACAGGATTCTTTTTGTGCTGCTTCACCAGGCGGACACCTCTGTGGCTGGTGGGCCTCTTCCTGGGCTTTACTTTGGCCCACTGGACTCACTCTACCCAGGCTGGCTGTCAGGTTGTGCTTGGCTCACTCCCAGCCTGGATCCTGCAGCCACTGCAGCTCCATACTCTGCCTGTGGTGGGGCCAGGTGTGCTGCAAGCAGCTTCCATGACTGGGTGCTAGTATTCAAATGAGGGGGGTGCAGTGTCAACAGAAAACTTGGAGACACCAGCAGCTACAGAGCCCCAGTGGGGTGTCACAGCTTCTGCTTGGGGAGTGCTGAGGTCTGGGCCCCCAGAAGAGTCACAGCTCTTCAGTCCTGTAGTCTGGTGAATGGGAGCGTGTCACAACTCTCTTCATTCCCGCCACCCACAGCTCGGTGAGCCAGCCAAGAGCATGTTACAACCCTTTTTGCTCCTGCCATTTGGCAGGTAGGTTCTTGTCCCGCAACCAAGAAGAATGAGGTACATAGACACCAGAGAGTGAGGAAGGCAGAGAAGAATTTTATCAAGTGACAGAAAAGATCTTAAGAAGAGGGGACCTGAAGTGGGTAGCCTTTTGTGTGAGAGGGGGCCTGAAAGTGGGTAGCCACCTGTCTCACTGAGTCTAGGGTTTTTATGGTCTCAGAATGGGGGAGTGCTGAGACCCCATTCAGCACAATGGCAGAGTGCTGAATGGTCCATGGGTGGATCTGATAAAAGCACCATTCGATTGGCTTAAAGGCATCGAGGAAGTTCTCACTCCAGTCATAGACTCTACCCAAAGCTGCAGCTCAGTTTTCAGGCTTTAACTTGTCTGTGGTTTGAAGGTTGGGTTTCACCAGGGACCTGTCCCTGTCTGCCTAGGTATTTGTCTGTCTCCTGCCACTATCAATAATGCTGGTTTTAATGTTTATCATTTTGAATTACTTTAGAGTAAAAAGGTAAAGATGAATCCCAACACCAAATAGAAAACTTAAAAAAAAAATCAATCAAACCTAGACCTAAGAGCATAATAATTTTGAGGGAAGAGAATGTACAATAAATGAGAGCAAAAAGGTAGAGTATTTCTTTTTTTCAGCCAGAGTAATTATTCATTTCTTGAAAAAAATCGTTTTTATAAAAAGTCTCTGAGCTGAAATCTGTGTTGGATTATGCTCTGTTGTGTTTCTTTTAGGGATTGTGACATTTTTATTCCTACAGCATTACTCTTGTATGCCTTCACAAGAGCTGTTTTATGTATAGATGGTGTATTCCCTAGACTGCATACCTCTGTAGGTCCAGGGCTATGCTTTATGTTGATTCAGGGGTTAGCACATGCTATGTGTGTTGTAGATGCTTACTGGGTTTCTTACACTGAATTACTCTAAATATAAGAGTACCTGAGTGATAGCTAGACCAGATAGTATAGAGCAGAAGAATGACTATCAGTGGGCACTGATATTGATTATAGGATTAAACTGTAGATTCTGCTGTCTTTAGATTAAATGCATGCATTTTACAGAGTTGACATGTAGAATATTAGTTATGTAAGACAGTGCATTCGCTGTAGAAACTAGAAGTGCAATACATGGGAAATATGACACAGCAGAGAGAAGGAACCTGAGCTGTGGAGTCAGACAGACTTGGGTTTGAACTTACAACTTAGTGATCTTGGTAAGGTTATCATTTCTCTTTTAAAATAACTCCAGCTACGGCATGAGATTTTAATAATTACTGAGGTTGTGACATTTCAGTGTTAGACACTTAGCACGGTGGGGGATAGTTGAGGTCTCCCTAAAATACTAGTCTCGCATTATTAAGTGTTATCCTGCATTTTTTCACTGGCAAACTCAAACATCTAAAAGTATATACAAATGACTCATTTTCAGTTTTAAATGCTAACCATTTTTATTAAAAAATATAGATTAATTATCTTTTTATAGTATAGTGCCAGGGACAGCAGCTGGTTTATTAACTGACTACCAATCATTCTAACACCAAAATGATCTAACACCAAAATCTGCTTCAATTTCAAGCAGCTCTAAAACATAAAACAAAGATGAGCATGCCTCCTCTTGCTTTTCTGATTTGTAACAGTAGAAGCTTGCTCACCAGCTGTATTTGATTTTATGTTGCCTCACATCTTTAAATTGGCTGGAAAGTCATTTTGTACCATGTAATACATAGTACTTTCAATTTTAGATACTCATGAAGAGTCTTGACTTAATACTGGAACTTTGTTTCCTATCATTTAAAGGTCATTGGTTATCTTACCTTATAAAAATGAAAAAGATTGACTCAGTTTTTTAAGCATGTAAATACATGCTTGTTTGATGGCTCTCATATAATTGTTTATTATATGCTGCCACTCCTGTTAGAACTTGTGCCTTCATATTGTTCTGGCCTGGCCATGTATTTACTACAGATTGTAGAGGGTGAATTCAAGTTTAGGCCCAAATGCTGTTTGACAGAGGCCAAATGATGAAAATTCTGAGAAAGAGATTTTAGGAGGAAAAGGCTTTAGCCTATTTATATGTTTGGAGGGAGGAATTAATAATGAAAGAAAAGTTGAAGATGTAAAAGAGAAAGGAAAAATGAAAGAAAGAAACTTAAAACAAATTTGGAAAGGATGTATAGTTTGCTTATATAGTCTTGGACCCTTCTTTACTGTATATTATATTAAAACCTTGTAAATATTAAGGCATGTTTTTGGGTTATTCTTGTGACTAGATTTGTACTTCATAAAGATGTATGGAGGGTACATCATGGAGAGAACAAATTTGAATTAAGGAGATGAGTTAAGAAACTGTTTAAGAACCTCTTCTCCCACTCCATGGGAAATAGACTTGAATATTATATAATGGGAATGAAGAGGAAAGACCAAAATCATGAGTTATTTAGGAGATAGAATCCATATGATTTGAGAACTGATACTGTGGTATGAAGGTGAGAGTGTGATATGGAATGATGATTGGCTTTCTAACTTGGTGACTAAATAGATTGTGGAGTTGTTAAACCAAGAGGAAGGAATGACTCATGGAGAAGATTACAGTCTACATTTTTGGCACATTGATTTGATTTTATCTGTGGGACATTAAACTGGAGATTTCTGGATGGCATGAGTACTTATATCTAACACTCAGGCAAGAGATCTAAGCTTGCAGGGTAGTTGAAATTACTGCTTAAATCACTAGGAAGAATAGTTTTAATGAGAAGAGAGTAGCACTGAGAATAGAACGTTGAGGAGTATAGACATTGAAGGGGTAGGTGAAGAAAAAAGAGTACTAGAAGAAAGACTAAGAAAAACAGTTAAAGATGTAGAAACAAAACTGAGAGAGTAGCTTTAAACCAGAGGGAAGTAGGCATTTCAAGAAGTAAGTTGTTAATGTCAGAAATCACAGACAGATTAAGTACCATACTAATCTCAGCAACAGTATAGTTTACACTGAACTATAGTATAATATTGAAAACATATATTTTATGGGTGGATAAAGGCTGGTTCATAATATTTATTCTCTTTCATTATGAGTACAGAAGTTTGGGAGGTACAACTTAATGGTATTCCAATTTTAAAGATAGTGCCTTAAGGCTATCTAGTCAGGCATGAGTTGATATCACAAAAATAAAAAACTCCACATTAATATAAAAATAGGAAACCATGCAGAGGTTTATGTGGACATATTCGTATTTAAATATGTTTATACTTATTTAAAATTAATTGTATTTGTCTTTTTATTTTGAAGAGTTCGTGTCTCTTGGCAGTATCAATTGGCTGGGAAGGAGGTGTTTTTGTACAAACCTGTGGTCACACATTACATATAGATTGTCATAAATCTTACATGGAATCATTACGGGTAAGTTGATTGCAAAATTTTTTTTAAAGGTGTATGTATCTTTCCAGGTGTTAAATATTTTTTATAGTATATACATCTCAATTTCAGCTCATCTTTTTAGGTGATTTGATCACCATATAAACTATCCAGTCTCACAGTTCTTCTTTAACACAGGCCTTTTAAACTTTAAGGATTTTCATTTTTTAATTTCATTTTAGCAACTGGCCAGGCACAGTGGCTCATGCCTGTAATCCCAGCACTTTGGGAGGCTGAGGTGGGCAGATCACTTGAGGGCAGGAGTTTGAGATCAGCCTGGCCAATGTGGCCCCCTGGCCAACCTGTCGAAATCCCGTCTCTACTAAAAATACATTAAGTAGGCAGGCATAGTGGCATGCACCTGTAATCCCAACTACTTGGGAGGCTGAGCAGGAGAATCACTTGAATCCGTGAGGCAGAGGTTGTAGGGAACTGAGATTGCACCATTACACTCCAGCCTGGGCAACAGAGCAAGACTGTCTCAAAAAAAAAAAAAAAAGAAAAAAATTTTTTTCACTTTAGCAACTGACTTCCATAGCTGCAATTTAGACTTTGCTACTCTCTCTGAAATATTAAGCTTTAATATCCTACCTTATGATCTTATTATATGATTATCATATAAGTTCTCTTATCTTCACTCTCATTATTGTGATTTGCCTCTGACATCAGGATCTATAGTCCCTTAATCCTTTGAATTTTTTCCTAGTGTATCAGCTTTTTGCTAGCCTCACCTTCTTGTACTATACCCATTCTGTTCTTGGCAATCTCGTTTAAGTGACCTCCTTTGATTTTAGACCCAGGCAGCTATCCCTGCTAGAAAAGTCATAAAATGGCTGGGCGCATGTCGCACACCTGTAATCCCAGCACTTTGGGAGGCTGAGGCGGGCAGATCACAAGGTCAAGAGATCAAAACCATCCTGGCCAATATGGTGAAACCCTGTCTCTACTAAAAATACAAAAATTAGCTGGGCATGGTGGCATGTGCCTGTAATCCCAGCTACTCGGGAGGCTAAGGCAGGAGAATCACTTGAACCTGGGAGGCAGAGATTGCAGTGAGCTGAGATTGCATTGCTGCACTCCAGCCTGTGACAGAGCAAGACTCTGTCTCAAAAAAAAAAAAGAAAAGTCATAAAACTAGGTGAACAGTTATTATCACAAACTTGTGGCTTCCTATAACAGTGGCTTAGACTAGTGTTGTGGGCTGGGCTGTAAATATTACCTATTAATTCATTTACCTGTCTTTGATCAGTTCCCTCTCCTGTTTTCCTCAGGAGCTGTTCCAGACTTTTGCCTCCCCTATCCCAGACTCTTCCTGTAAACCCCAAGATTCATTTCTTTTTAACAAAATCTGTCTCTTCCTTTGTCATTAAGAAAACAGTATTTGTTGTCATATTCCCTTAGATTCCTATCTTGCTTTTCTATTCCCTGATAAGTGATTCCAACATCCCCACCAATCTTTTCTTTGCTATATTGAGGTCGTACTGTAGTCCTTATTCTGTTCAGAAATAACTTTTTCTGCCTGTTCGCTGGTAGTCCTTTCTCCCCAGCATCTCAGGGGCCTTGATTCATCAGTAGGTAACCTCTTTTCCTTCTGTATTTTCAGTTTTTCTGCCTCTTCTGTCCCTTCTCAGCTCATCAGGAGCTGAGTTCAAATCTCTCCCATTCAGAATCCTTCCCTGGACCTTACATTTTCTTATTTTCCTGTAGCTGAAGACTTCTCTTTCTCCTTCATCCAGCTTTTTCTTTTTGAGATAGGGTCTCACTCTGTTGCCCAGGATAGATTGCAGTGGCCCAATCATAGCTCACTGAAGCCTCATGCTCCTGAGTTCAAGCAGCGTAACTTCTTAAAAGCAGCTTCTCAAGTACAGGTCTACTGTATTCCCATGTTCCTAACTCAGAAGCAGTAGATATCTCTTTTTTCCTTCCTATTCCTCACCTCTCACTTTCAGTCCCTTACCAAAATTCTGTTGATTTTTGCCTTCTAAATCTCACTTGGCTGTGTTCTACCTTTATTAATCCAGCTGCTACTTTTTTGTATGCCTTCCTCACTCATCTTGATTATAGGAATTTATTTCTTGTTGATTTCCTTATTCCAGGTATAATTTATTTACTACATTAATCTTTCTAAAATTTAAATCAACAATATGTGTTGTTGGCTTAAAATCTCTTGCTGTCTTCCTCCTGATGGGATAAAGTTCACTATTCTCTGAATGGCATTCAGGGACTCCAGGATCTGGGCTTGCCTGTTGCTTTAGTGTTGTCTTCCATCAATTCAACACTAGTAGGCTAATTAATAGTTCCTTAAGCACATTATGCATTTTTTCATATCCCTGTATTCAACTATTCATTCAACAAATATTTATTCAGTATGTATAGTGTTCTAGATACTATGATAGTCATTGTGGATACGGTGGTACATAGGGCACAGTTCCTTCCCTCAATGAGTTTACTATGTATTACATAAGAGAGACAAGTAAACAGTTACAGTATGCATGCTACATGTTAGGTATACACAGAGTCTTACTGGAATATCTTCCAGGTGCCAGAACATTTTGATGAGGTAAGTTACTTAAGTGATGAGAGATGAGACAGAATAAGTAATTAAGGTTTACATTGTAAGAGACCTTCTGGTCCATTTAAAGGATTTGGACTTTATATAGATTTCTTAGAGAAAGTCATTAAAGACTCTTAAGCAGAGATATAACATGTCCAGAAAAATCACTGTGACAGTTGTGTGGAAAGGGAATTGCAGAGAAGTAAGAAAGAATGCGGTGGGAGCTTAGACTTAGTCATATCTATGAAGATGGACAGGAGAGTACAGATTTGAAATATATTTAGAAGGACAGTCTTCTGGAGCAAGAGAGGGAAGAAGGAATCAAGGTGAGAGGTGATGACATTGAAAGATTTTAATTGGAAATAAAATCTCACATTAGACATTAGAAACATTAGGTCATGTAATGGTACGTTTGGGGGACTACATAGAAGAGAGATTAGTAAAGGGAATAGAAAGAAGAAAGTAGATGGAAGGACTGGTGGGATTAATTAATTATATATTTGTGACGGGAGAAGGGAGGATGCTGAAGGAGTTGCAGTGAGTCTCTTGTCTCTGAGATAGGAGGTATAACCTTACACTCCTAGAGTAAAAGGGGCAGGGATGGGGAAGGTGAGGGACTTGACAAGTAAGGAGGTGGTTTAAAAAACCACTTTGGGGGCCAGGCATTGATGGCTCACAACTCTAATTCTAGCACTTTGGGAGGCCGAGGTGGGCAGATCACCTGAGGTCAGGAGTTTGAGACCAGCCTGGCTAACATGGCAAAACTCTGTCTCTACTAAAAATACAAAAATTAGCCAGGTGTGGTGGTGGGCGCCTGTAATCCCAGCTACTCAGGAGGCTGAGGCAGGAGAATCGCTTGAATTGGAGAGGCAGAGGTTGCAGTGAGCTGAGATTGCGCCATTGCACTCCAGCCTGGGCAACAAGAGCGAAACTCCATCTCAGAAAAAAAGAAAAACCACTTTGGGACTGGGTGAGAGAGTGCTTCCTAGGATGTTGGAGAAAGAGTGTCGGGTAGTATTCAGGACAAAGTTGAGGTTGGAAACAGTTTGTATCAAGAAGGCATTTCATTTTTCTCTGACAACACTCAGTTTGAGTGCAGAATTGGAGAAGGCATACACTGGATTAATTTAGTATGAAGGCTTTGTTTGGTGTGAATGATGAAAAGACACATGGAGGGGGAGTAGAAAGTATTACCATGAGTTTTTGAAGTGGTAGACAATGGTGTACAGATAGGATAGGAAAAACCTGATGAACTGGGAGAAAAAGAAGGGAGTAAAGGAGGTAGAAGTTGGTAGTCAGAATATACGATGTTTGAATTTGACATTTTCAGATCTAGAGTAATTTTGAGTTATTACAGGACAAGGATGTTGTTATGGTAACAGGTGCTGAAGTAGAGTGGAAGTCAAAAGTATAGGAGCTGATGAGGTTAAGGAGCTGAAGGACTAAGGTATAGGTTTGGTTGGTTGTCTACATACATATTGAAACTGCACAGGAAGATGCAGGACTTGGAGTGATGAGGAAAACATATCAAGGTACCAAAGTCTTCAGTGGTTGCAGGCAGTTGGTGGCAGTGAAAAGGAGGAAAAGGATAGTATTGCTAAATGACATAAGCCACAAAGACAAGAGAATGCTGAAGTAATCTCGGGCCAGCACCAGAGGGTGTTGAGATGTGAGAGATGTAGGAGGGTGAGTTGAGAGGGTTTCTGGGGGTGCTTCAGTAGAGAACCTATCTTCAATTACAGCAAAAAAGAGTATCTAGCATTCTTTGGAATTGAGACTGTAAAGAAGCTTATCACAAAATGTTCTTCTGTGGCCAGGACCCTTGCCCCAACCTTTTAGCATACTCTTTTTTTTTTTTTTAGCCAATTTTTAAAACTTACCTCACAAGTCACCTTCTCTGGGAAGGCTTCTCTGTTGTTGCATTTATCACACTATAACTTATCTGTCTGATTTTGGTTTTAAATTATGAGTACCTTAAGAAGAAAAAAATGTATCTTAACTCTATGCGATCACCATCACAGGATTTATCACATAGTAGGAACTTAGTAAGTGTTTGTAGAATTGGATTCAGGAAGATACCTTGTTACATTTTTAAGGACTTAAGAAGTTAATGTCAAAAAGGGAAAAAAGAATTCCTAGTTCTCTTAGTCAAAGTGCATGAGATGCAAAATACAGTGAAGTGAGCACTAACTCAGTTGTCCAGTCAGTTGTATTCAGCAGTTAGACACCTTAGAAGGCACTTTTTAAAAGGCTTATTTACTCTCAAAAGCTATTTGTCCTAGATCAAAGAACATGAGCTTTGGGATAATCTTCCCAGTAGTCAGTTACATGTTTCATACTAAGAGAAGAGTAAGGTACTTAAACAGTGTATTGGTGAGGATTACAAATGCATGCCACCATATGTAATTGCTATGATGTAAGAAGTGATTTGGTGAACTTTAACAGTTAAATAAGGGATTTTGTTTATTTCTTTATAACATATATTAGAGATGTCTTTTTTTGTATGGCTCGTTAATATACTATTAAATGGGTGGTATAATTTGTGTTTCCTGTAATTGTGTGTATCATACATCTGTATGTTTATTTCATCTTTTAGAATGACCAGGTTCTTCAGGGCTTCTCAGTGGACAAAGGAGAATTCACGTGTCCCCTCTGTAGGCAGTTTGCTAACAGTGTTCTTCCTTGTTATCCTGGAAGCAATGTGGAAAATAACCTTTGGCAACGTCCTAGCAACAAAAGCATACACGATCTCATAAAGGAAGTGGAGGAGCTGCAGGGACGACCGGGAGCTTTCCCAGTAAGCATCAGTGTAAGGCATAAGTATCTTGGTTAACTCAGCTCTGATTTTCAGCTTTCATTTTCATTCAGTTTATAAATTACTCTGGACTTTTACATATTTAGTAGAAATTGCTTTTAGAGGTTTTGTTCTCTTCTATTTATACTTAAAGTAATAGCACAAATTATTATCAAAGACTATACTTCTCTTTAGTCTAAATTCTTAGTTTTAATATATATCTTCCATGTCAAGAACCTCTATAGGCTTAGATATAGTTTGGCTCTTTTAAGATCTTGAAGTAGGTCAGGTGTGGTGACTCTCGCCTGTGATCCGAGGATTTTGGGAGGCTGAGGTGCACGGATAACTTAAGGTCAGGAGTTTGAGACCAGCCTGTCCAATGTGGCAAAACCTGATCTCTACTAAAAACACAAAAATTAGCCAGGCGTGGTGGCATGCATTTGTAATCCTAGCGACCCAGGAGGCTGAGGCAGGAGAATCCCTCGAACCCGGGAGGCAGAGGTTGCAGTGAGCCAAGATCATGCTGCTGCACTTCAGCCTGGGCAACAGAGCAAGACTCCATTTCAAAGAAAAAAGAAGGATTTAAAAGCAAATACAAAAGCTATATATATAGATAGAGAGAGAGTGTGTGTGTGCGTGTGTGTGTGTATAAAGCACAATTTAATTGCTGAAACACATGCCCATTAGGTGTATTAGGATTAAGAAATATTTACACAGACATGCAAATGTATTTACTGTGTATGTGTATGTGTATTAGAGAGATAATATATTGTGTGATTGAACTGTTCATCATAAGCCAGACTACTGTGGGGAGTGGAGTGGAACTCATCTTTTATCCCATCTAGTAGGATTTATTTGGCTTAAATTCTTAAAATATTTCACCTTCATTATAGATTTATGATATGATCTCTGAGAGAAGTGACAACTGTGTCTGGTTTATGTTGTAAATTTGTGAAAACTGTGAATATTTGACTTCTGAAACGGAAATGCATACTTTAAACAGATAGATTAATCCAGCAATTCCCTTTCTCAAGTGAAGACTAATTTTAGAATTTATGTTTTTTTCTTTTATAAATTCAAATTGTTATGTGTTTAAAATATGCTTAAGCTTAAGGAACATTGATATTATTATTTGAAAATGAACTTAAGTGAAAGTCAGGTTTTTTATAGACATGGAAACTTTATTCTAAAATATTATTTTAATACCATCCTCTCATTGGCTTAGAATAGTTTATATGGTTAATTCATAGTTGTATTACAGTGTTACCAGTCATAATGTAGAATTAGAATAAAAGATCACTGTATAAGAGAGTATTTTTAGATTGATTTTTTCTTTGTACACTAAATATATTTATAATAGATAATGTTCTGTTTTAACTTTTTAATTTTAATTTCCTAGTATGTTCATATAATAAATGTTCTAGTTTTAGGCCATTATTAAAGAAGATGAATATAAACTTTATATATATGTTTGCATTTTTCTTATAGTCAGAAACAAACTTAAGTAAAGAAATGGAATCTGTAATGAAAGATATAAAAAATACCACTCAGAAGAAATATAGAGACTATAGCAAGACCCCGGGCTCACCAGACAATGATTTTCTCTTTATGTACTCTGTTGCTAGGTAGGTATATATAGTATATACTTTTTAGTTTACTTATTATTAATAGTTGATTTTATTATTTAATAAATATTTGTTTTATTTATTTAAAGGATACATAATTTTAATATCAGTTGAAATTATGGCTAGTTTTAGTGCTTCCTAGGGTAACTATAAATGTGCAGCTTTTATTTCCTGAAGAGGTTTTATTTTAATGAAATATTTGTGTAAATGTTACTAAGCATTATAGTACATGAGGAAAAAGTATGCTACTAACATTTTGGGACAGATGTGTACCTCAAAGCATGTGAATATTTATATGAGACCTGTCAAAAAGTGATAATACTGAGAACTAAAACATTGTAATATGTTAGACACTTTGATTTATGGAAAAATAAGAATAGTAAGAAGTAGAACTTTGTTTTAAATAGAAAACAAAAAGATCTAGTGATATCCTAGAGGACAGGAGTTTAGAAAAGTCAGATTAGAGAGAGGAAGCAAGGCATCAGGAGTGTTCTAAACTTCTATGTGTATTGAGTAGAATTGTTAGAATTGTTAGAATACTTCTAACAAGAAAGCTGTTAGAAGTAAATGTTTTTCATCTTTCATATTAGGAAGGATTAGTCTAATTGTATTCAATACATAAGTAGTAGTTCTAAATAGGAATTTTGGAAAACTTGAGTGAAAATGCAGAACTGTAAAATAAGTAAATAGAGGAGAAACAGACACAGTTAAGAACTTGTAAATTCATTCTGCTAAAACTGACTGTACATCCTTTGATATCTCTGGAAGCATACTTTGTATTTTATCCAAGTAGTATCATAGTAGATAAGATTTAGAGAGATATTATGACTTGAAGTCATACAGCAAGTTAGTGGCAGAGTAGGATCTCTTGAGTCAAGGTTTTGTGTTTTTTTCAATTGTGTCTTCCTTTTTCCTCTCCTATGTTTAGCTTTTTATAGGTTGTATTATGTATATAGTTAATCGAGGCTATTCTCTGTGGCCCGCTCCTGGAACAGAGGGTAACAAAAGAGTAAATAAACTATGCATAGCCTTTGGAACCCAGGAGAAATGGAACCAGACTTAGAGAAATTGTAGCAGGCAAATTAGAGCTCAAGATAAGGAACATTAGTTGGTCTGAGAATGCAAATACTAGACATGGGTTGATGTAAAAGGATCTAATGAATTGGAAAGTAACTTTGTAGTCAGTATATTCCTAGATTCTGTTTATCTAGAATGTTTTCAGGAGGGGCATAACAGTTAATTTAGTATTTTGTTTCTGGAGAGTTACCAGTTACTGCATTCTTGCAATAAAAGACACTTTATGTGAAAACTAAGCTGAATGTAAGTTCATTTTGCCAGGGTGCCAAGGTTTTACAGAACTCCCTATGATATTGTGATTATAACATGGTAGAAGATTGGGTTGAATATGGACCAACTCAGTTCTGCTATGTATATTTATACACATACACGCACACAGAACTACACACATTTATGTTGCTCATGTATTTGTGCTTTTAATATTATTAGAGTTGGCCTTTTAAGAAAATCTTTATTGAATGGGAATAATCTGTTCTTGGAATTTTCCTGTAGTATGATAAATCAAACAATTTGATTTAATAATAATTTGGTAGACATTTTAGATCCTTATTTCTTGCTTTAGGTTTATAAGTAACTTATATAAAAAGCTTGCAGAGATAATGGGAGACCTTCTGGATCAAGACATTTTGGCTTCTCTCTCTTTTTTTTTTGAGAAGCAGGACAGATGTCAAATGCTTTACTAAGATGTAGGCGGAGAAACAGAGAAAATAGATCTCCCCAATCCTTTTCTGAAACTTAATGATAAACTCTAACGCATCAAAACAGTAATTCTGAAAATGAGTGTATGTAACACATTAAGATTTTATTATCCTTTGCTTGGAATTCCCCAAAATATTGCTAAGCTTTTCCAGTGAAGTGGCATTCCTTCTCTAAGTTTTGCTTCATCATTTTAAAGAAGGCTGGGTATGGAAGTAAAACTTAGAGAAGGAATGCCATCTCACTGGAAGAGCTTTGCAATATTTTGGGGAATTCCAAGCAAAGGATAATAAAGTTTTATCCAAGCAATACAAGGCAGGAGGATTGCTTGAGCCCAGGAGTTTGAGACCAGCCTGGACAACATAGTAACACCCTATCACTATGATAAATAAAAAAAAATTAGCTAGGTTTGTTGGCATACATCTGTAATCCCAGCTACTTAGGAGGCTGAGATGGGAGGATTATTTGAGCTGCCAGCGATGGTAGGACGAAGCTATAGTGAGCTGTGATTGAGCCACTGCACTTCAGCTTGGGCAACTGAGGAAGACCCTGTCTCAAAAAATAAAAAATAAGAAAAATAAAGTGATGCAGAAATTAACAACACATATTGAAAGAAAAAAGTATGTTGTATTCTATTTAAATAGGTTGTAATTTTCTCAAAATAGGAAGCCAGGTCTTTAATTTTATGCCTAACATAAAACTTATTTCACAAATACTTAGGATTATAGGAACATTTATTCCTAAAAGGTGAACATTAAAATATTTAGCAGTATTTAAATATTTAAGTAAAATATTTAGCATTAAACTTACTTTGAATTAAGTTGTGAATTAAATGTAGTGAATTTTAAATGTATAATTCATTAGAACTTGCATATTTATTTGTACTTAGTAACTTAAGTGGAATACAACCCTGATTTCTTAGAGCTGAATTTCTCCCTGCTGAAGAAGTAATTTTATTTGCTCTTCAGGGAATTTAAATTTTGGATATTAAGAAACAAAGTATTTCTGGTGAGTTTTAAAGCTTTTTTTTTTTTTTTTTTGGTAAGACAGTACATATTTTTTGGTTTTTAATTTTATTTGCGTGGTGAAGCCTTGGGGAATTTTCTGAGGGTATCAGAGAAGAAACTGTTGGAAAATCCATTCAAAATTAAAATAATTTAAAAATTAATCAAAATCACTACATTCGAGTTTTGATGTATTTCCAAAATTTTCATTCTGTTGCAAATATCAGTCATCTAAACAGATAATGGAAAGCTAATTTTGGGGAAGAAAGTTTTCTTTTTTTTCAATACCAATTCATTATTTTGTTCTTGAAACAATGAATGACATCAATTTTAGTAATTGATTTTTCTAAGGATTTTTGGACTCAAGTTTCATAGAGTCTAGAGGTATTGGTGAGTAGCAGGTGGTTTGTATAGAGAAAAATGGAAAGAAAATGAAACATAAGTAACTGCAATGTAGGTGGAGAGACATCTTTAGATTGTGGGTACTAAACAGAGTGAATGTACCTTCATATGTTAGTTGCATTATGTTCAAAATAAAAGTGATGCTTGCCAAGTCCAAATTAAGAATCCTTTTAAAAAATAAAAAATTATTTCCTAAAACAATCCTTTTTTGGGTCTTGGGGGGGCATCACTACTGGGTTAAAGGGAATGGAAGAGTTAGGAAAAGAAAGAAAACTGCAAGGGCTAAAGAGAATCTTATAATTGGTTACATATCAAAAGAAAGAGGTTATCAGTTTCCATTTTTTTTTTAAGCATCTTACTAGGTGTCATTGGGGATTTAGAAGCTGTATATGAAATAGTCCCTGCTCTCCAAGAATTTCCAGATGGAACTAATATAACATCAATCTATATAACAGAATATAATTTGTTTTTTAAAATATCATAGAAAGTACTGTAGAACATCTAAAGGGAAGATGAACAAGTTGAAATACAAACTATGTGTAAAGTCCTTCTTTCCTGACCCAGGAAAGCCTTCTGGAGAAGTTAAAACTTGAATTGCCTCTTGTATAATGTAGACTGTGGTATGGATGAAGATATTGTGTGTTTTTTCTTTTTTTTTCTCTGAGAAATTGAGTAACTTGCTCAACTACTAAGTGGTAGACTCAGGCCTTGAACCTGGATCTCTTTCCAGAAGCTTTACCCTTTTCACCAAACCAGCATGTGTCTGAGAATGTGGGGTGTGTGTGGGTACACACGTTTGCTTTCAAATTATGCTCTAAAATAGAAGTTAGTGTTGAAGGGGGGTTGAGAGGACAGCAGACTTTGGTCATGCAAAAAGAAGCTGGAGCATCGTTAGAGGTTTTTTAAATATGCATATTAGGTGGCCACTAAGGTAGGGTTTAAGCAGTCTTGTCATTCTTTCAAATATAGAGATTTTCTCCTTTTTCTTACAAACTAATTTGAATGTGTTTGTGTTAGAAAATATAGAAAAGAGTCTGCTTTTCTTTGACAGCAGAAAGCTCAGAAAAATTCCACTGCCAGCATATCTTTATTTTTGCACCATTCATTGAGAAGGGAACAAACATAATATTGCTTTGTGATTTTCAACAGTTGAGGGAATATGGACATGGGACATATGACCCATTTGTTCTTTAGCATGTCTCAGAGGAGCAATTTTGACATAAATAAAAGTCCATATTTAGAGCTGTATTGATTTTTGAAATCCTAGATATTATTGCTGAATATAGTGGTGTACACCTAGTACTGGCTACTTGGGAAGCTCAGGCAGGGGGATTGCTTGAGTTCAGGAGTTCAGATACACCCTGGGCAACAGAGCAAAACCTCATCTCTTAAATTTTTTTTTAAGAAATTTAAAATTGTGGATATTATTACACATTAATTTTTTGAATAGGTAGTTTTTGATTTTTAATTCAGAAGGAATATTGCATAGAGATCTTCCAGTCATAATTTGGAATAATTAATTAGATTTTACTAGTTTTTTTCAAATATTCTTTAAAATGAAATTCTTAGTAACATGTTTGTCATTCTTTAAATTATATTTGGGGATTGAGTAAACAGAAATGTTCTTATATCTTTATTTTAATGAATATTTTTGCAAATTTGGTGAAATGTTGACATTCTGGTTTTTGACATTATTTGTAAGTATTGTTTGTTTTTCCGGTTAGCTCTCTTAAAAGTATATCTAGGAAATCTTAGTTTTTATAAGAGAATATAGCCATTAATTTTTTTCTACAGATTAGGCAACAGAAGATTTGTGAAAACAAAATGTATTGATCTCATTTATATTCCCTTGATGAAGGAACACATGCTGGTCTCCGCTCGCTTTCTGTCCACTAGTATGAAATCCTTGTCCCTGCTTCCTTGCTGGTAGGTTTTTAGAAGTTCAGTGAGCAATGCAAATCGCCTGAAGGGTGGAAAATTCCCTTGTCACACAGATGCCCTTATCAGCAGCAACCAGATGGAGCTCTGAGCTGGAACATTATCAGTGTTAAATTGCTTTTTCTCCCACCCTAAGTAGAAAGGATTAAAGCATTCCTTTAGAAATGGGTGGCAAATGTACAGACTTCGGAATATTAATATTTTTAACAATTTGCATTTATAAGTAAATACATTATAAGATGAAAATAGCATCTCAAAACGTTCTATGTTCAAAATACAACTAAACCAGTGCAAAAAGTTGTGTTTTAAATGAAGTAGGATAATAGTCTGTCATGCATTCACTTGCAAAGAGTAAGCTTGAAACTGCTTTTTTCTTTTTTTGAGTGGGACAGTATCTTACTATTAGGGTCAAATGCATATCTTGGATATAAACGTCTATTCAGTTTTGGTTGTAGAAAATAAAGGTACGTCTAAGGGTATTAATACTGTTGAAGAAAAATACAATGTAAATTCTTTCTCAGAATTTTCATTTATTATTTTGGCATAATTAATTGGTTCTTTTACTGTTACCGTTTTTGAGTAAATCTTTAGATTCTTGCATTAGTTTGATTTTCGAAATGTCAATTTATTACTTATTGCTATTTTATAAGCCAATAATTGCAAAATACCTTGCAATTTCAGGTCTATATGAACAGTATTGATGTTTAGCCATGTCAATGGTTACACAGTGCATTTTAATGAAACTAGTTTTAGAAGTCCACAGAGAGACTGCTGTTAAATTATATGTGTTGTTTGTAGCCATTTTTATATTGGTGATTTTGTTTCTTAATATTGATTTCCAGATACCATCTAACCTCCAGTGAATGATAACCATTTCTCTGGTAGAAAAATTGGTATGCCCTTGAGTTTTATGTGGCAGTAACCACCTACATAGTGGCTGACATTGGAGTAAAAATTCTTTTTTTCACATTCATATGCAGATTTATGAAATATGTTGCATTTTTTTTTAAGTCCTAGTTTTTATTATGTGCCAACAGTTAGAACTTTGCAACAATTACACCATGCTGTGTGCAGTATTTTGCAGGTGTAAATATGAACATATAAGTAAGGATGCATAAATTGTTCCCTTTTTATTTCTAAATAGCAGATAAAATACGATGATTACTGATACAACATAAAAACTGCTTTTGCAAATAATAAAGTTAAAGAATTTTATTATTTAGGTTGAGTCAGACATACCAATAAAGCAAATTAAAAAGAATCTTCAGTTTAATGACTGAGATATATTCTAATGCTTTACTTACAGAACCAATTTGGAGCTTGAATTGATTCATCGAGGAGGCAATTTGTGTTCAGGTGGTGCAAGCACAGCTGGCAAAAGGTCTTGTTTAAGTAAGTACTAAAAAGTGCTAAATTTAAAAAAATTCTGTCATTTTTGGAAGTATTGGCAGGTAAACTGACCTTTTGGTGTAGTTTCAAATTCTGTGTTATATATGATCTATTTATATAATGATATATACTTTAAGTGGTCACTCTTGTACTTAGAAGAATCATATGAATTTTTAGCTCTTTCTAGATTATGATTACCTAGCAGATAAATGTGATGCTAAGTGACGTGGTTTATACTATTTCAAAATTAAAGCACTGTATTATTCTCAGCTATAAAAACTTGTTCTTAAACTTCAATTCTCTTAAAGAATTTTTACACTGAATTAATAAAACATTTTTATAAAAACAATATATATTGCCCACAGATTTCTATATTATTGCTATTAATGAAGATGTTTGTGCTGTATTTTAATGTGTATATTAAAATGTGTTAAAATTGCAGATGTTTGCTTTTATTTATGTATATACTTTATGTTATAAAATGAGCATAATTCTTTAATCTTGTTTGTAAGGATATATTTGAGAGAAGTGTAATTTATAATTTAAAGTAGGTTTTTTATGGGCATGATTTTGATGCTATCATTTTTTAGTCATTGTTTAGAGAATTAATGTGAATACTAGGAATAATATTATTTAATGTCACCATATAACTGATTATTGGCCTCAGATCATGGCAGTTGAAATATTGCCTAATGTGATTAGTATAGGAAATGAAACTTGTTTAAAGTACATAATATATTCTTTTGAAAAATGAATATCTTTTCTTAAATACTAAAAAACAGTAATTATTGAAAATTATCAATAATGTTGGTTTTTAAACAAAACATATTATTTCAAAAACTGTTTATATAATTTTCAATTGATTTCAAAGCAAAGGGATAATCAAAAGCGTTTTAAAATTTTTGACATAAAAGCAGACGTATGTGAACTTTTAACTTGGTTATCTTTTAAAGTCATATAAGTTGCACTATAATTCGATATTTTCTTTTGGATTGTCACTTTATTCCTAGAACTTAAGATTTTAGAAGGTTTTATTTTTGTTTGTTTGTTTTTACCAAGTATTAGTAAAAATTAACCCCTTTATGCATTCATCTAAACCCTACTTCTACTCAGTGTCTTACTAGTGTTTCAAAGGAAGTTGTTGATACATGGGAGTTTTAGTTTCTAATCCATTTGAATTGATATATATTAATCATTTTAGTTATATAAATTATTTCTTGTTAATTTGTTATTAATTGATGTTTGGCATTGGGTGATAATATTCTAGAAACTGTTGTGTTGTAAAGTGTTTAATTTAGTAAAGGGTTTTCTGTTTTTAAAAATTAGTTAATTTTTTTCTCTGAGGCATTTAAATTTATCCAGAGGCTTATAAATAATGAATTTATTCAGTTGAAAATAGTAATTTTCTAGTGGTAATCACTTCAATTACCACAGTGAATTTTGTAATTTAAATTGTTAAATTTATAGTTACTTCCAGACTTTTGCTTTATTTTTCCCTTTGGTAAATAAGAAATTATACTGTGCCAGTATAGAAAAAGTCATGTTTATCCTAAATATAAGTTAATATTTTTCTTAGTTTTTGTATGATTTATTTTTCAATTGCTTATGTTATTTATCCTAGTATTAATATAAGTAGCCTGTAAGTCATATATATAGAATATGTGGTATATATATAAAATCCCACTATCTTACAAGTGTATGAACTTAGTGTTTGTTATATATTCAAATAAAATTCAAACTTAAGTTGTACACCAGGACTTAAATTGATGATGATTCATGGAATCTCAGTGCAAATATTTCATCTTCCAGTGCAATGTCAGTGGCATTTTTTAAAAAATTTTAATCATTTTGGGAAAAATCTACATGTATTCATATTTTCCTTTTCCCATTGATTACTATTCATTACTTTTTGAATATCTCATTTTTAATGTTTTTTTTTTCTTCCATTATGTCTTTGAGGAGAGTAAATGAAGAAATGCTCCACTGATTAAGCAAATAATGAGGGAACTTTTTTCATACTAAGAATACCACACTTTTGGAATACTGTTCTGTTACAACTTCTTGATGAAACTGAAGATTTGTCTAATCAGGAAAACTTTTAATAAATTTTGTCTAGAAAGGATTGCATAATGCCTGATATATAATTACACACACACACACACACACACACACACACATGCACGCACACAAATACTGGGGGAGAAGGGAAGAAGATTGTTCTTTCTCAAACAATGAAAGCAAAAAATATTAATGGCCAAATCCCTACTGAGAAATAAAATTGAAGTGGAACAAGGCTACTCAACAACTACATCTTCAAACATTTTTAAATAGCAGAAGGTAGTTACCACTGTCAATCAGAATAAAAGGTCAGTCCTAAAAATATGTGTCTGGGAAATTTTCCATAGTAAAAAATTACCCAAATTAGCTCACCTAACAGTATAATGTGGTATTTTAATAGTACCCTAATTTGTCATTTTAAAGTTTGTAAAGTGCTTTCACATAAATTATTTAATCTTTAGAATGACCATGTGAAATAGGTGTTAATCTCTTTTTCATAGAAAAGGAATCTGAAGTTCAGAGTGATTGCCTTGCCAAGTCACACAGCTGGAGAATGGCAGAGCTTGCACTTGTGTCCAAATCTTCTGACTCTAAATTCAGTTATGTAAGACTTATCTCCTGCCCTTAAGTCTCCCAAAGGTTGCAGAATTTTTAAGACATTTTACCCATTGGTTTAGTCAAAGACACTACTATACAATGTTGCCTTGGATCTTTCTAGGCCCTGCTGTGCTAACTCTCCTGTTTATCTTGTCTGTTTTCTTTTGTTAGCCTTTCACTGTCAATTCTTTGTTTTTGTTTTTGTTTTGAGCCACCTTTTCAGACATTTTTGCGAGTCCTGAGTCCTTCTGCCCTGGATACCAGTTAGTTCTCCTTTATTCTTTGCCAGTTTGCTTGCTGGTTCCCCTTGCTCTTGCTATGAGTCATGTGTGTTAGCTCTCATGTATAGCACAGCTGTCGATTCCTGTGTCAGAGCTCTAGAACTCCTCCTTACACACCAGGGAAGGTCAGGCATTTCAGACCTTGTATTCAGGAGATGATACTGGTTTTAGAGACTGGTACTCATCTGCTGGGCTTGTATTCAGCAGATGAGACTTGTTCAAAATCCATGTCCACCAAAAGCTTTATTCATTCCAGTAGTGAATTTCTTAGAACTTACAACTTTGGTAGACATGGCATTTGAACAAGACTTTGAAAGGTAAGTGAGGTTTAGAGAGTTTTTGTTACAAGTTGGTATATACACTACATATCACCAACTTGGTTAGCAACATTTGTAGGATAAAGCAGATGTAAAACTTAAAGGCATAGCTTATTAAGAAGAGTATTTAAGCTTACTGTATTTCTTCATTTAAGTGATTTGAAAATAAATATGACAGTATAAATTCTAGTGAAGTTCATATGCTTTCAACACATTTTTGGCATGATATTCTCAGTATATTTCTCAAGTTGACATTTTCATTTGGGAAATTCTGACTTAATTTTATATAATCTATGATCTTATCAAGAAATTATGCATAGTCATTGCAGTAAATAGTTTCTACCAGAATTTGCTATTCATAGCAAGCAACCCAGCTTAGATCTGTGCAGGCAACTTGAAATATTTCTACTTGCTCAAAGAGTGAATTTTTAGTGAATTTAAAATTACAGAAAATTAGGCCAGGTGTGGTGGCTAACTCCTGTGATCCTAGGATTTTGGAAAGCCAAGGTGGGGAGGATTGCTTGAGTCCAGAAGTTGTTAACAGCCTGGGCAACATAGGGAGAACCTCATCTCTAAAAAGAAAAAAAAATTAGGTGGGTGCGGTGGCATGCACCTGTGGTCCCTGCTACTCAGGAGACTGAGGTGGGAGGATTGCTTAAGCCCAGATGGTGGAGGCTGCAGTAAGCCATGATTGTGCCATTGCATTACAGCCTGGGTGACAGAGCAAGATGCTGTCTCAAAAATTATAGAAAATTATTTTGACATTAATTCCTTCCTGCAGTTATGTAGCATAAAGATGTTGTTAAACAAGGAATGAGTTTTTACAAAATTACTCATTTCTTTTTGAGAGACAGGGTCTTTCTTTGTCTGTCATTCAGGCTGGAGTGCAGTGGCACAATCATAATTCACAGCAGCATTGAACTCCTGGGCTCAAGCATTCCTCCCACCTCAGCCTCCCGAGTAGCTGGGACAGCAGACACACACCATCATGCCCAACTAATTTTTTAATATATTTTTTTGTTGAGATGGGGTCTTGCCATGTCGACCAGGCTGGTCTCAAGTTTTTGGCCTCAAGCAGTCCTCCTACCTTGTCCTCCCAAAATGCTGGGATTGTAGGCATGAACCACTATGCTGGCCTAAAATTACTCTTAAGTAGTCTGACCTTATTCTTTAACAGTTAGTGATAAAGTTCTGACATTGATGGCCTTTAAAGGCCTTTTTCAAATTTAAAAATATCAATTTCTGCAAACAGATTGAATCACAATTTTATTTTTTTCTTACATTGAAAAAGGAGGAAAATTTGACCATCAAATTATTATAATGATCGAAAGGTATAAGTTAATAGAAAAATGCGTAAATTGTTTCCGGAGACTAGTTATTGATCAGATTTGATGGCTAAAGCTGATTTTGTGGTATTTGGGAATGTTTCATGTTCTGAAGAGCGAGTTGGTGTATATTTAGGGCCAACATGAAAGATGGATATATGGTGGAATCGACAACAGCAAACTAGGAGTCATGGGCATCTGCTTAGGCAAGACATTTTATGTTTTTGGCTTCAGTTTCCTAGTCTATAAAATTAGTGTGTTAGACAGGATGATCTATGTCCTGAAAGAAGTTCATGGTTGTTAACCCTGTTATATGCAGAGCTCACATCTGGAGCTTTTCCCCCCTGTTAATTAACATCATTAACATTAAGCATAAAAGGCAAATAGCTGGACTAGGAGTTATACTCTAGCAACTTTAGAATTCATACTTTATCTACAGTCATATACTATAGAATAAATTAAGGCTTGGAGTTTTGTTCTTTTGACCCATCTTGCAAATTCAGAAGATTTTGGTATTGTCTATTTTATTTTGCTCTTCATTTCAAGTCGTGCATAAATTAAAAATGGAGGCTGTCAATGAAATCATATAATAAATAGAATCAGAATCTTTGTGCTAAAAGTTACTTAGGAAATCACCTAGTCTAAATGTTATCTAGCTCAGGCATCTCTTACCTACTATTCCAATCATTTGCTCTCTCTGCTTGAACACTTTCAGCGATAAGGAGTACTTGTTGGGATAGGTGAGGAGTTTGATAAGGATGGTGATATTAAACGGCAGCATAGTGTAAACTAGAGAGTGAGATTCTGTTCCTCATAATAGTCAATCAGAGGATTGTTATAAGAATTCAGTTTTATAATATATCAGTTTCTGCATTTTGTAAATCTCAACATTACTATTTCTCCTATTTCAACACTATAGTTGTCAAATTTTGGGGGTGTGGATAAGAAGAAGGAGCAAGATAACACTTAACTTTTAGCTCAATTTTTGTCCTAGTTTATAACTATATACTATAGACCAGGTGGCTTATATACAACAAAAATGTATAACTCACAGATCTGGAGGCTGGGAAGTCTAAGATCAAGGTTCCAGCAGATTTGGTGTCTGGTTAGGACCTGCTTGCTTCCTCATACATACTTGTCTTCTCACTGTAACCTCACATGGTGGATAAGGCAAAAGATCTTTTTGGGATCTCTCTCTCTCTCTCTTTTTTTTTTAAGAGCACTAATTTCATTCACAAGGGCTTCCTCATGATCTAATCACTTTCCAAAGGACCCACCTCCTTATGCTATCACCTTGGGATTAGGACTTCAATTTAGGAATTTTGGTGGGACATACACATTCAGTCCATTGCAGTTTTTTTAAGGGACTTAACAAACATTCTTTTGACCTGTTCAGAGGTGAGATTAGGAGGACAGAAGGGGATTTATCTCCATGATAAAGTTTATCTGTTGAGAACAAATATATTGTTAATTTGGAAAGGATTAGAATGTGGCATGAAAATTTAAGTTAGAGGCGTGGCTTTAACTTTTCTTTAAGTCTTTCTGAAAGTCCCATGATTTGTGACTCAAGTAGCCAGGCCTTTCTGTATTTATAATTTGGGCATTCCAGGAACTAAGTACCATAGATAGTAATTTTCAGTATCAGGACATAGGGTTCTTTGGGTCTTACTTGGCTTAGGGTAAGGCAACTCCTTTCTTGTGCAGTTAAATGGGACAAACCCTATTCCCATTTTAAATGAGGTGTTTAAATAAGACCTGGATTCATGGAATGTGACTCTTTGGTCAGGAGGAAATTAGGAGTCCTAATAACTGACTTCTCTCTTCCCCTTCCTAGGACTACCCATATGCAGAAGCACAATTATACCTCTCCCTGCCTGTTATCATTCCAAGCTGTGTTATAAAGGGAAAAAGGGAGGCTTTTAGTCACTTACATCTTACAGTAGAAGGTGAACAATTTGATGAAGCTAATAGAAGGTGAACAATTTGATGAAGCTAATAATAATACTTGTGGATACTTGAGGTAACCAGAGAATACTGGCATAGTGTGCCTGGGAGTGGAGGAATAGGAATTCTGGGAGGCAAGAGAGGAACATAGCATGGAAAGCATGAAAGTACTAAAAACAGCCTTTTTCTGCACTGTCTTCCCTTCCTCATGTGGCAGAAAAACTTCTCCAAAGGAAGCAACACTTCCCCACTCTATTCCAAAACTCATGTGTCCTTGTTGACTAGTGACAACATAGCATACAGTACTGGAAAGAACACTGGGTTGGAGTTTGAAGATGTGGACTCTAGTCTATTTGTTAGCTGTTGGGCTTCAGGAAACTAACGTAACTTTTTACCTCATTGTGGATGTGAGGATGATGGTACTTACTCTGACTATCTGATATATCCATCATAGTTAATGTAATGATCAAATAGTGTTAGATATATGAACTAAAGTATCTTACATAATATGTTAATAATTATTAAACTTGTCTTTTAACCCTTTAAAATTCTACCATAACTGCCACTTGATTCTCTGCCCTGGCTTGCCTGGAGTTCTTAGGAATGGGATAGGGAGACATGAGTCAGCTCCTGTCATCCATGGCATCAACCTTCTGTCTCTTGGGAACCAGACCTACAGATGTTCCCTTCTTCTTGGACCTATTCCCAGACCTCATTTAAGGAGCTCTTTTTTTTTTTGAGACGGAGTTTCGCTCTTGTTACCCAGGCTGGAGTGCAATGGTGCGATCTCAGCTCACCGCAACCTCCGCCTCCTGGGTTCAGGCAATTCTCCTGCCTCAGCCTCCAGAGTAGCTGGGATTACAGGCACGTGCCACCGTGCCCAGCTAATTTTTTGTAATTTTAGAAGAGATGGGGTTTCACCATGTTGACCAGGATGGTCTCGATCTGTTGACCTCGTGATCCACCCGCCTCGGCCTCCCAAAGTGCTGGGATTACAGGCTTGAGCCACGCACCCGGCCAGGAGCTCTTTACCATCTTTTCATGGCTGCTTTCTTAGGGATGTACACAGGAATCAGTGGAAGCTGGCTTTGCTGTGAGAGGTGTATACTCACATCTGTTACATTCACCTTAGGATAAGTAGGTCAGAATAATTTCCTCACTTTGATTATTCAGTTGCAGAGAAAGGGAGATCCCCCCCCACCTCCCATAATATTTCAGAGAATCATTTGGCTAGTTGAGATTTTTTTTTTTTTTTTTAAGGGACAGGGTCTTGCCTTGTTACCCACCCTGGCCCCAAATTCCTGGGCTCAAATAATTCTCCCACCTCAGCCTTCTGAGTGGCTGGGACTACAGGTATGTGCCACTTTGGCTGAGATTTTTTTTCATTGACAGTGATTTAATCACTGATGACCAGACTGATAAGACTGAAATCTTGAATACAGACCCAGTTAAGTTTACCTTAGGTGCATTTTAACAGTGGTACAATTTAAGATAGAACCAATTTATGAAAGTCTTTAGGATAACGCTTTAATATGTATTTATATCTTAATGATCAATATGAGTATAGTAAGAAATAACCTACCAGTTTTAGATTTCTTGCATGTTTAGAAATAACTGACAGAGGCACACAATTTCCAGGATAGTGCTGGAACATTTGTTTCAAAAGCATTTTTGAAAGATTTTTAACATGATAATGTTGGTTTTCCTTTCTTTAAGTGGATATTCCTAAGGCCATAAACATTGGCATAATTTTGTGTGTGTGTGTTATTCATATATATACATCTGAAACTCAATTATATAATAAGTTTGGAGTTATATTTTTATTTTACGTTTTTTGTTTTTTTTTTTTTTTGGTAAAATAGTCTTACCTAAGTGTTGACAAAGTTAGAAGGATTTCTTAAACCTTATTGGTTCTAGCTAGTACTTATAATTAAATCTTAGATTTTCTTAAGGACAAACTGGTCTTTCAGTGTTGTTTTCTCAGTTTCAATAATGATGTGTCTGTCTGTGATTAAGCACATTTTAATTCTTTAGACTTGTCACAGTTGTAAAGAATTTGATTGGATATTACAGAAAATAGAATTCTTTATCCCAGGTGAGTTGTCACATGGGAACCAGCATGGGAAGAAGATGGTAGGAGCAAGTAGGTCAAGTAGTGCTTTAGTACTTAGAGTTGAGAGGTCAGTCTCTTTTGGGGAAGTGAAAGTAGGGCTGATTAATTGGCCTACTTCTTGGTAACTGAACCAATGTGTCATTGTGACAGAAAGGGAAGAGTAGAAAACCATCATGAATTTTATGCTTATATTTGTGATTTTTTCTTAGAATTATATAGTGTTTAGCCTATTTTTTAAAATCCTATTATATGTTATGCACTTGTGCTAGCCTAGGAGGTACGAAAATGTAAAGATACAATTGTCTTCTTTAGGGGGATCTGACCATCTAATAGGAGAAGAAAATGTGAAAAATAATTACAAGACTATGTAAGAGATGCTGAAATAGAAATAGATAGCACAAGGTACAGAGAATGTATAAAGTAAGGAGATAATTGATTTTTCTGTGATATCACAGAAAACCTTACAGAGCAGCACATGAACTGGCTCTTGAAAGATGAATTGAGTTGGCCTGAAGGACAAAACAATGCTTTTCTAGGCTAAGGGAACAGCTTTCAAAGACATGAGACAACATGACACATTGGGGAATACTTAAAAAGAAAGGAAGGAAAGTTAAGAAATAAACCTGAAAAATAAGATGGACTAGCTTATCAAGGGCTTTCTATTCCTGTTCCTTCAGTGGATCACCAGTCAGTTTTGAGATAATGTGAACAGATTTATTGATTAGAGAAGTTGGAAGGAGTGAAACAAAAGACATACAGCTGAGTGAGCATTCTGTTGAGCAATTTAGGTCAAAAACACTATAGTGGCAGAGTGGACCAGAATAGGTTGGATTATAAGAGGTAGAACCAGTAGGATTGGTAATTAATTGGATATGGAGGCCAAGGCTGTGGGAGAAGACTCCCAAATGTTTCCTTGGATGTTTGCATGAGTAGTGGTGTCATTGACCCAAATAGGAATTATAAAAGGAAATTAACATTGGAGCTGGGATGGGCTGTATAATCAGGTTAGTCTGGATATACTGATTTTTGAGGTGCATGTTGAACATCTTAAGTACTAGAGAGCCTTGTGAATTGTTAACTTACAGGTAGAAGTGGGCTTGGGTAAAGAAGTGTGTTCAGAATGAGAGGGAAAGAGGACTAAGAATGTGACCTTTTAGGGTTCATTATCGAAGAAGAGCACATAAAAGTAACTGAGAAGGAACCAGAGGAAAGCCAGGAGAGAGTGATACCAAAAATTAAGGAAAGAGGAGAGAAGAGAGTTAGGAATGCATGTTAATATATGTTTGTAGAGTGGTGGTTTTATGTGGCTACCTTATGTATCCAATGTATAATAATCTCTAATTTCAGTTGTAAAGTTTATAAATATTAAATTGATTTCATATTCATAGCAGCCATGTATTTATCTGCCTGAAAGCCCAACTTACACACATACTAGAGATTCATGCTATGACTGTAACTACTATTACTATATACTAGACCAGAAAGGTGGTTTTATATTTATTTTACAGACCATAAAACTAAGTTTAGGTAATTTGTGTAAGGACACATGGCTAGTACAGACTTGGATTCAATCTAAGACTTTCTGACCCCTCGTGGTGCCTCTACATAGGTTGAAATCACAGCACACTTATAAATGAATTTAAAGGTATTTCTCATTTCCAAACCTTTTTATATATGTGGATCAAACTTTAGAATTTAAAAATGTGTTATACTAGAAAAGGAGATAATTATTCTTTTTTGCTATTGTTAGTCCAAAATTTAATAATATGCTTTTTTGTTATAATTATTTTTTCAACTTTTAAAGTGTCATGCATGCAGTTGGTAGTTTTTTTTGAGACAGAGTTTCGCTCTTGTTACCCAGGCTGGAGTGCAATGGCGCGATCTCGGCTCACCACAACCTCCGCCTCCTGGGTTCAGACAATTCTCCTGCCTCAGCCTCCTGAGTAGCTGGGATTACAGGCACGCGCCACCATGCTCAGCTAATTTTTTGTATTTTTAGTAGAGACGGGGTTTCACCATGTTGACCAGGATGGTCTCAATCTCTTGACCTCGTGATCCACCCGCCTCGGCCTCCCAAAGTGCTGGGATTACAGGCGTGAGCCACCGCACCCGACCCAGTTGGTAGTTAAGACATTTTTTAGTTTTTGACTTTTTGATTATGATCATAGAATCTCCCCATCCTACATCTTTAATATTTGTCTGGTATAAGAGGTGTTTTTGCTGCTAAATGAATATTAGAGTTCATTCTTACTGATAAGACTAAATTTTGAAAAAAATTAATAATAATGAATTGTATCAATAAATTGAAGTTATTAATGGTTATTTGGTCAGTTCTGTGAGTAAGAGAGAGAGAGAGAGAGAGGGAGGGATGGAGGAGAAGGAATCCTGTACTTGTATTTAATCATAAAAACCCCAAGAAATAACTAAGAAGTGGCAAATCTTGGATCCTACTCTTAGCTTTTAGAATAACTATCAAGAGTGAACTGGCAAGGTACTTCCTTTCTCTGGGCCGATTTTCTCATCTATAGAATGAGGAAATTATGAAAAACTTTCCTTCTAACTTTCTGAAATTCTTATATTTTGATAGGGATTAGAAAAATAGGTGAATGTAACGTTATTTTCTGTGCTGGATGTGGTTTCAATGCAAAACAGGTTAGTACAATTGCAACTTCTACGTTTTTGATTAAATTAGGGAAACTAAGATATCCACCTTCATTTTGGTAGGAGATATTAAAATGAGCCCTTTGATCAAGTTAATACCTATATAAAAAGAATTCAGAACTCCTCACTGTGCAACTTGGGATAATATTTTTTCTGTGAGAAGAATTTAGTTTTTTAAAACATTTTTAGGTTTTAGTCATTAAAACACTCCTTAAAAGTATAAATTATATGCTTAATAATCTCTTATGTATAATTGAATTGAAATAAAAGAAAATTTACCAGTCTCTAGTCATGTTTTTCCTCTGCTAAAACTTGCCTTGTTCTCAGTATCATCTACGAAACCAGGTTACTAGAAAAACTGGAAATTTGAGAAACTTACTTGTCTCAAAAGTGGGGTTAATAATATTACCCACCTAGTAGAATTTTTGTGAAAATTAATGGATGTTATCAATCAATGTAGCATTATGGCTGGCACATAATAAGTAACTAGTCATTAATCGAATGAAAAAATTTAAGGAAGATTTAGGCTATACATAGACTTACAAATAGGAGATGAAACAGGGTAAGGTATTTAGATTCTTCTGTTTGTTATAGAGAGATCAGATTGAAATTTACAAAAACGTATTTTCTTTATCCTGCCCCACGAGTAGAACATTTATTTTACTCAGATTGTAGCTCTCATATATAAAAATTTATTTATTTTTTGTGGTGAGAAGGAGTTTCATTCTTGTTGTCTAGGCTGGAGTGCGATGGTGTGGTCTCAGCTCACTGCAACCTCTTCATGGTGATTCTTCTGCCACCATGTCTGGCTAATTTTTATGTTTTTAGTAGAGATGGGGTTTCATTGTATTGGTCAGGCTGATCTCAAACTCCTGACCTTAGGTGATCCGCTCACCTCAGCCTCCCAAAGTGCTTGGATTATAGGCATGAGCCACTGTGCCTGGCCAGCAGCTCTCATATGTTTCATAACAGCTTCACAAAACTGTACACGTACACACATACATGCATACACACATGCATACCCCCTATTACACCCTTTATGTTGATGGATCTTGAGTAAGTTTACGTAAAATACAATTTCTAGGTCTGCTGGCTCAGAACAACAAAATCTGGTCTAGTTTTAATTAGAAAATAAGTAACAATAATTAGTTCGTGTCATTCAGTTAACTTTCTTCCTAGATTTAAGAATTAATTTCAAAAATCGGTTAAGAAGTATCATATTATCTGACTTTCTAAAATATGACGTTTGATTTCTAAATATCTTTGAGTATGTGTAGCAGAATAATTTAACCAAATTCTTGTCATTGATACCAAAAAAAGAAGGGGTACATCAGATACAAAAGCCATACTTAGGGTATTTTTTTCAAAATAATTTTAAACAAGGTATTTTCTTCTGAATGCCATGAGCAGAATTTTGTTGAAAGCCAAGATTGGTAGATTATTGTTATAATTCAGATAGAAGAAATTTAAATAGTTGGAATATTACCAAATAATACTCTATTTCAGTTACTTTTTTTTTATGTAGAATGCCGAGATGATGAATTCACTCTTCAGTCTAAACAAGATTTAGAGGGACATATTAGGCAGAGAAAGAACTTCACCTAACGGTGAGTTATTAGGATGCTATGGTACATATAACCCAGGACAGAGAGTTGAAGATAATAGTGAAGTTTGGTTAGGAGGAGCTCACAATGGTGAGAAATACAAATTGGCAAGACTGCGGCATAAAGTCAAGGACAAGTACGTCTGTGATAGGAGATGAGGAAAACCATTCCTGTGTTAAGATCGAGCATAAGGGCAGTCCAGATTCTAGCACAGATTATTTAGATATATATTTCAGAGTTTACCATAAAACAGAGTATGAAGTAATTGGGACTTAAACTTGGTGAATTTAAATTATCAGGATAGAAAACAGATTTCCATATGAAATAACTAGAAATTTTGTCTGAATTTTGTTCGAAACAAATGTGTGAACTTTCTAATGACCTTTTCTTCAATTTTTTCAGATCAGCTGTTTCATGTATTAGCCTTGCACATGAGGCTTTATAGCATTGACTCTGAGTATAATCCCTGGAGAAAACTCACCCAGTTAGGAGAGATGAATCCACAGTAAGTATAATTGAAATACTAAAATCAATGAAAACTGTTTATGAAAAATAGGTGTTAAATATAAAAATGGAATTGAAATTTCAACGTGTGATTTTTTTTTCACATTTTCTTTACAAAGCACAGAAATATATAAGAATTGAGAACAATTTACTATTATGCTATCTGTAAAAGCTACATACAAGCTTTTACAGATTTTCTCACCATGTGAGAAAATCTTTTAAAGAATCTCACTGATTTTTATGCAGATGAACTATTCAAGTGGAGGCACATAATGGCTGTTTGTTTTTTATGTCACAATTAATTAGTGGGTTCAGGTACCCTTAGTCTGATTCATCCATCATGAAGTGCTCCATCAGTCTTTCACCTGATGGTTTCTTTATATATATATATATTTTATTGCACTTTAGGTGCTGGGGTACATGTGCAGAACATGCAGGATTGTTGCATAGGTACCTACATGGCAATGTGGTTTGCTGCCTCCATCCTTCCATCACCTGTATCTGACATTTCTCTTCTTGTTGTGCCTCCCCAACCTCCCTACCCTCCGCTGTCCCTCCCGTAGTCCCCTGACAACAGATCCTAGTGTGTGATACCCCCCTCCCTGTGTCCATGTGTTCTCATTGTTCAACGCCTGCCTATCAGTGAGAACATGTGGTGTTTGATTTTCTGTTCTTGTGTCAGTTTGCTGAGAATGATGGTTTCCAGATTCATCCATGTCCCTATGAAGGACACAAACTCATTGTTTTTTATGACTGCATAGTATTACATGGTGTATATATGCCACATTTTCCTTGTTCCAGTGTATCATCGATAGGCATTTGGGTTGATTCCAGGTCTCTGCTATTGTAAACAGTGCCGCAATGAACATATGTGTGCATCTGTCTTTATAATAGAATGATTTATAATCCTTTGGATATATACCCAGTAATGGCATTGCTGGGTCAAATTTCTATTTCTAGGTCCTTGAGGAATCACCACACTGTCTTCCACAATGGTTGAACTAATTTCCAATCCCACCAACAGTGAAAAGTGTTCCTATTTCTCCACATCTGTTGTCTCTCCACATCTCTCCAGCATCTGTTGTCTCCAGATTTTTTAATGATCGCCATTCTAACTGGCGTGAGATGGTATCTCAATGTGGTTTTGATTTGCATTTCTCTCATGACCAGTGATGATGAGCTTTTTTTTTATGTTTGTTGGCCTCATATGTCTTCTTTTGAAAATTGCCTATTCATATCATTCGCCCACTTTTGAATGGGTTTATTTATTTTTTTCTTGTAAATCTGTTTTAGTTCTTTGTAGTTTCTGGATATTAGCCCTTTGTCAGATGGGTAGATTACAAAATTTTTTTCCCATACTTTTGGTTGTCGGTTCACTCTAATGATTGTTTCTTTTGCTGTACAGAAGCTCTGGAGTTTAACTAGATCCCATTTGTCTATTTTGGCTTTTGTTGCCAATGCTTTTGGAGTTTTAGTCATGAAGTCCTTGCCTATGCCTGGGTCCTGAATGGTTTTGCCTAGGTTTTCTTCTAGGGTTTGTATGGTGTAGGGCTTATGTTTAAGTCATTAATCCATCTGGAGTTAATTTTAGTGTAAAGTGTCAAGAAGGGGTCCAGTTTCTGCTTTCTGCACATGGCTAGCCAGTTTTCCCAGCATCATTTATTAAACAGGGAATCCTTTCTCATTGCTTGTTTTTGTTAGGTTTGTCAAAGATCAGATGGTTGTAGAGGTGTGGTGTTGCCTCTCAGGCCTCTGTTCTGTTCCATTGGTCTATATCTCTGTTTTGGTACCAGTACCATGCTGTTTTGATTATTATAGCCTTGTAGTATAGTTTGAAGTCAGGTAGCGTGATGCCTCCACCTTTGTTCTTTTTGCTTAGAATTGACTTGGCTATGTGGGCTCTCTTTTGGTTCCATATGAAGTTTAAGGTGGCTTTTTTCAGTTCTGTGAAGAGGGTCATAGGTAGCTTGATGGGGACAGCGTTGAATCTGTAAATGACTTTTGGCAGTATGGCCGTTTTCACAATATTGATTCTTACTAACCATGAGCATGGAATGTTTTTCTAGCTGTTTTTGGCTCTCTTTAAGTCTTTTATTGGTGTATAGGAATGCTTGTGATTTCTGCACATTGATTTTGTATCCTGAGACTTTGCTGAAGTTGCTTATCAGTTTCAGGAGATTCTGGGCTGAGATGATGGGGTCTTTTAAATATACAATCATGTTGTCTGCAAATACAGACAATTTGACTTCCTTCTTTCCTAATTGAATACCCTTTATTTCTTTTTCTTGCCTGATTGCTCTGGCCAGAACTTTCAATACTGTATTGAATAGGAGTGGTGAGAGAGGGCATCCTTGTCTAGTGCCAGATTTCAAAGGGAATGCTTCCAGTTTCTGCCCATTCAGTATAATATTGGCTGTGAGTTTGTCATAAATAGCTTTTATTACTTTGAGATACGTTTCATTGATACCTTATTTATTGAGAGTTTTTAACATAAAGCCCGGTTGAATTTTGTCGAAGGCCTTCTCTGCATCTATTAAGATAATCATGTGGTTTTTGTCCTTGGTTCTGTTTATGTGGTGGATTACATTTATAGACTTGCATATGCTGAACCAGCCTTGCATCCCTTGGATGAAGACTACTTGATGGTGGTGGATACACTTTTTGATGTACTGTTGCCATCAGTTTGCCAGTATATTATTGAAGATTTTTGCATCTATGTTCATCATGGATATTGGCCTGAAGTTTTCTTTCCTTGTTGAGTCTCTGCCGGGTATTCATATCAGGATGATGCTGGTCTCATAAATTGATTTGGGAAGGATTCCCTCTTTTTGGATTGTTTGGAATAGTTTCAGAAGGAGTAGTACGAGCTCCTCTTTGTATGTCTGGTGGAATTCACCTGTGAACCCATCTGGACCTGGGCTTATTTTGGTTGGTAGGCTATTAATTGCTGCCTCAACTCCAGCCCTTGTTATTGGTCTATTCAGAGTTTCCACTTCTTCCTGGTTTAGGCTTGGGAGGGTGCAAGTGTCCAGCAATTTATCCATTTCTTCCAAGTTTACAGGTTTATGTGCGTAGAGTTGTTTGTAGTAATCTCTGATGGTAGTTTGTATTTCTGTGGAATCAGTGGTTATATCCTTTTTATCGTTTTTTATTTCATCGACTTGATTCTTCTCTCTTTTATTTTTATTAATCTGGCCAGTGGTCTATTTTGTTGATGTTTAAAAAAAAAAATACCAGCTCCAAGATTTATTGATTTTTTAAACAATTTTTTATGTTTCTATCTCCTTTAGTTCTGCTCTGATCTTAGTTATTTCTTGTCTTCTGCAAGCCTTTGAGTTTTTTTGATCTTGCTCCTGTAGTTCTTTCAATTTTGACAATAGGGTGTCAATTTTAGATATTTCCTTGCCTCTCTTGTGGGCATTTATTGCAATAAATTTTCCTCTAGACACTGCTTTAAGTGTGTCCCTTAGATTCTGGTATGTTGTGTCTTCGTTCTTGTTGGTTTTGAAGAACATCTTTATTTCTGCCTTCATTTCATTGTTTATCCAATCAACATTCAAGAGCCAGTTGTTCAGTTTCCATGAAGTTGTGCAAGTTAGTTTGTTAATCCTGAGTTCTAATTTGATTGCACTGTGGTCTGAGAGACGGTTTATTCTGGTTTCCATTCTTTTGCATTTACTGAGGAGTGATTTACTTCCAATTATGTGGTCAATTTTAGAGTAGGTGTGATGTGGTGCTGAGAAGAATGTCTATTCTGTGGATTTGGAGTGGAGAGTTCTGTAGATGTCTATTAGGTTTGCTTCATCCAGATCTGAGTTCAAGTCCTGGATATCCTTGTTAATTTTCTGTCTGGTTGATCTGTCTAATATTGACAGTAGAGTGTTAAAGTCTCCCACTATTATTGTGTGGGAGTCCAAGTCTCTTCGTAGGTCGTTAAGAACTTACTTTCTGTATCTGGGTGCTCCTGTATTGGGTGCGTATATACTTAGGATCATTAGCTCTTCTTTTTGCCATAATATGATGCCCTTCTTTGTCTCTTTTGATCTTTGTTGGTTTAAAGTCTATTTTATCAGGGACTAGCATTACAACTTCTGCTTTTTTTTTTTTTGGCTCTCCATTTCGCCTAATGGTTTTAAGGACCTCTGATAAATCTTGCTAAAATCCATTATTACATTAGGTGCTGCAGAATAGTGATTTTTAAAACTTCTTCCTTTTGATTTATTAGATGGAATGTGTTTAGACAGAACTTTTCCATATCAGCTATTTGTTGACCATGAAATATAGTTTGACTGGATGAACACTTGATTCTTTTCCGATTTATAAATTTTCAAAGTAAGGAATGGATGCCCTATCAACTTCCCATGGTGACCAATATGTTTGGTTTTTCATGTATTTTATGATCTCATGGATTTTTATATATTTGATGTGTTTCACTCCATTTCAGTTTTTCTGTTTTAGATACAAATGACTACCTTTTATGTTAATGAGAATCTCTCCAGACTGACTTTTGTATGTTTGGCATGTCTTTCATCATATCCTTGCTTTATGGTACAAGTTGACCTGGATTCATTTTGTACATTTTCTATTCTATACTTGGAATCAGCTGTTTCTTCATTTAGTTCCTTTTAATGGCAAATCGTATTTAGAAACCACAGTCTGGGTGCTAGAGAGTATACACAGCTAATAGTTACTAGATTCTCATTGTTTATAGGCCATTTCAGTCGATGGAGTTGGAAAATTTCTTTTTTAAATTCAAAGCAGATGTTGGGAGGAAATTTTTTTTTAAGGGAAAAAAAGATCCTGAGTTCTTATTTATATTTCTCATCCATAAGATTGCAAGGTTATAATTTTATTTCTTAACTTTTTTGTTATTTGTATCTTTTTTCTTTTATTCTAAAAGTCTTGATTCCTAATAATATTAACATAATTGTATAAAGTATAATCTCAGTTTTTTAAAAATACCAATATTACTACTTGCCATAAATTATCTTTGACCTTTAG